CGTTTTTCGGAGGTTTGCAGAGTGCAAAAAAATTCTTTTTGGAAAGCTCTTTAACTGATGAGAATTACATTGATCAAGTGCTGTGCCAGCAGGAACAAAGTCTTAAGTTTTGTCAGCAATTTCCTTCTCCAGCACATGGATAAATACACCTGGAAACATCTACCTACCTATTTACTCTCTCTCTCCCTACCTCCCTACTGTATTTCTCCCTCTCTCTTTCTATTTCTCTCTCTCTATCCTTCTCCCTATCTATCTACACACACACTCTCTCTCTCTAACCTCCCTACTGTATTTCTCCATCTCTCTCTATTTTTCTCTCTCTATCCCTCTATCTACCTATCTACTCTACCTACCTACCTACCTACCTACCTACTGTATTTCTTTTCTTTCTCACCCTCTCTATCCCTCTATCTACCTACCTACTTTTAAAAAAAAATTGCCTCTTCAAAACCTTGGTGCGTCTTCTACTCCGGTGCGTCTTCTACTTTGAAAAATAGGGTAATTATTCAAAGAGCCTCCCTTGCCATCCAAATATATACATTATTGAAAGTTTTCTCAGCATCTTAGATAGATTTTGGGGGGAAACATTTTGAGAAAAAGTCATGATATCAATTAAATCCTAGGAAAACTTAGTGAGCTGAATGAACAATATGATTACTGTAAAAGAAAGAATTACAAAGTGAAGTGCAATTGCTTTGTAGTATGCATATAAACTTAAAATTAAATTCTGGGCCAAGACAAAGAAATTGCTAAGAGTCATGAATATTTGTTTGACACCCTAAGAACCATGGTGTGTATATAATTTTAAGAAAGTGAAAATGACTGATTTAAAAAGCTTCATTGTAATATCTACAATAAGGTAGATTAGCAATTCTTTCACTTTGATAATAAACATCTATTAACCTTCTGTTAGTTCACAGATTTGATTGGAAAGAAAAAAGATTGCTCTGTCCTTTTTTAAAAGAATTCCCTTTAAATGAAAAGGAACAGGGTAAAACTGGCAACTTGTTTTGTGACACCTATATAAATTTCACATTAAGTAAAATTGACCTCATTATCTGAGAAAACAAACTATAAAGTTAAACTAAAAACTAAAAAAAGATGTAAGAATTACACATATATGACTGGACATTACCCAGATTAATCTACTGAATAGAATGGAATGGAATGGAATAGAATAGAATTCTTTATTTGCCAAGTGTGATTGGACACACAAGGAATTTGTCTTTGGTGCAGATGCTCTCAGTGTACATAAAAAGACAAGACACATTTGTCAAGAATCATAAGATATAACACTTAATGATAGTCATAGCTTATAAATAAGCAATCAGGAAACAATCAATATCGATATAAATTATAAGGATACAAGCAACAAAGTTACAGTCCTACAGTTATAAATGGGAGGAGTGCTAGGAACGATGAGAAGACTAATAGTAATAGTCTGTGTCTGTTGTGTTGGGTTGCAGAACCAAACCAGACAGTTATAGAGGTGCAGACTCAATAGTTCCTCTGTAGAACTGAATCAGCAGCTCCTTGGGCAGTTTCATTTTAATTTATTTCATTTTAATTTATTTGTATGCCGCCCTTTTCCCTGAGCGGCTCACAACTCAAAGGGAGGGGGAAAACAAACAAAGTTACAAAAAAGATAAAAACCATGCATAATTAAAAAAGCACAACAGTCATATCATTCGAAGTGGGGCAGCGAGTCTTTAGC